GAGGATGGTGACCCTTTTCTCACAGCTCCAGTAGGTAGCACCCCAGTGGGGACTCTGTGTGAGGGCTTTAACCCTACGTTTGCCCTCCACACTGCCCTAGTAGAAAGTTCTCTATCAGGGCTCCACCACTACAGCAGTCTGTACATCCAAACATCTGTATAGCCTGTACATCCAAATTTTGCACATATCTTGTGAAAACTAGGCGGAGACTCCCAGGCCTCAGTTCTTGCCCTCTGTGTAGACACAGGCTCAAAGCCATGTGGAAGCCACCAAACTTTATGACCTACATGTTCTGTACCAGCAGCCCAAGCTGTACCCAGGCCCCTTTGAGCCGTGGCTGAACCTGGAGAGGTTGGGATGCAAGGAGGAGTGTCCCAAGGCTTCACAGGGCAGCAATGTCCTGGCTCTGGCCCATGAAACCATTCTTCCCTTCTAGGCCTCAAGAGGGGCTGCTGTGAAGGTCTCTGAAATACCTTCAAGGCCATGTCCCCATTGTCTTGGCTGTTATCACTTGGACCCTTTTTAATTTGTGCAAATTTCTGCAACCTGCTTGAATTCCTCTTCTGAAAATAGGCCTTTCTTTTCTACCACATGGCCAGGCTCCAGATTTTCCAAACATTTATGCTCTGCTTCTGTTTTAAATATAAGTTCCAGTTTTAGGTCATTTTTTTGCTCACACATAGGAGCATAGGATGTTAGGAACAGCCAGGCCACATCTTGAGCACTTTTCCTACTTAGAAATTTCTTCTGCCAGGTACCCTAAATCATCACTCTCAAGTTCAAAGTTACACAGATCCCAAGGGCAAGGGCACAATGCAAGCCATGTTCTTTGGTAAGTCATAACAAAAGTGACTTGTACTCCGGTTCCCAATAAGTTCCTCATTTCCATCTGAGTCCTTGTTAGCCTTACCTTTGCTGTCCGTGTCACTGCCAGCATTTTGGTCATAACCATTCATCTGGTCTCTAGGAAGTTCCAGACTTTGACTCGTGTTCCTGTATTCTTCTGAGCCCTCCACACTCTTCCAACCTCTGATTGTTACCTTGTTGCGAAGTTGCTTTCATATTTTCAGGTATCTTTATAAGCAGTGCCTCACTTCACAGTACCAATTTTCTGTATTAGTCCATTTTCAAACTGCTGTAAAGAAAACCTGAGACTGGGTAATTTATAAGAGGAGGTTTAATTGGCTCATGGGTCTGCAGGCTGTACAGGAAGCATGATGTTGGCGTCTGTTCAGCTTCTGGGAAGGCCTCAGAAAACTTACAGTCATGGCTGAAAGTGAAGGGGGAACAGCACTTCAAATGGCCAGAGAAGGAGCAAGCAAAGTGGGGGAGGTGCTACACACTTTTAAACAACCAGATCTCATGAGCACTCACTCCCTCATTGTCACGAGAAGGGGATGGTGCTAAACCATTCATGAGAAACCACCCCCATGGTCCAATTATCTCCCACCAGGCTGCACCTCCAACACTGGGGATTACAGTTGAACATGAGATTTGGGTGGGCACACACATCTAAACACTAGCAACACTGCAACAGTAGTGTTAGCCAAAAGATAGTGAAATAATATCTTCATAAGAAAAAGCAATTATCAACTTAGAATTTTAGTGAAATAAGGACATTTATTATGCGAACAAAAATAGAAGAAGATTGACCACCAGAAGACCCTCCTCACTAAAGGAACTTCCAAGGGTAGACTTCAAGAATTAATTGAAAACGGCCTCCAGAAAACAATCTGAGGTACAGAAAGAAGTGATCAATAAAGATAAAAGTAAACATCAAACTGACAGTAGCATGTTATAGAAAAACAATGATGTCTGTTTCAGTAGCACTAAAACAAACACCAAAAAAAAGCTAAAGTAAGGATAGAGGCAGATTATTGGAATCAAAATCCTACAAGGTTGTCGTATTTTCTTTTTTTTTTTTTCTTTTTTTTTTTTTGAGAGGGAGTCTGGCCTGTCGCCCAGGCTGGAGTGCAGTGGCCGGATCTCAGCTCACTGCAAGCTCCGCCTCCTGGGTTTGCGCCATTCTCCTGCCTCAGCCTCCCGAGTAGCTGGGACTACAGGCGCCCGCCACCTCGCCCGGCTAGTTTTTTTTTGTATTTTTTAGTAGAGATGGGGTTTCACCGTGTTAGCCAGGATGGTCTTGATCTCCTGACCTCGTGATCCGCCCGTCTCGGCCTCCCAAAGTGCTGGGATTACAGGCTTGAGCCACCGCGCCCGGCCAGTTGTCGTTTTTTCAAGAAGGAGAGCAACTGATTATCTTCGGACCTTAAGCATGCATAGTAAAAACTGCAGTGAAAAGATGGGCTCACATGTAAAATGGTATCTTTTAATCAAACTCAGTAAACACTTTCTCATGGAAGATACCTGGATATTAAAGGATGGCAGCCTATTGATTCCCCACTGCCCTTGTAGTTATACCCTGTCAGTTGCTACATTAGGTTTCCTGTCGTTAATCTTCTCAGTCTTCCTCTCACCAAGTTCATTATATGAAATCACAACTCTTTACGGAGCTCTGTGTGTTTAATAACACACGTGCTGTGAAATCACTTTAACTCTTTCTACAGTCCTCATGATGAGGACCAGTGCTTGTGATTCATTAATGTCCAGCTCATTGTGTTTTACCTGAAGAGCCTCCCCAAGCGTCTGATGGCAACAGCGGCACTGTATGTGTGGTTGTCAAATCAGGGCAGTCGCACCTGCTTTAGAGGGCCTTCCCAGCCCACGGTGCACGGTGGTCTCTTCTTTCCCTGAATTCTGCTTGTTGGCACCCATCTGTCTCGTGTAAGATGGAAGTATCAATAGTACCTTACTCTTATCATTATGGTGTGAGTTAAATGGATTAATCCATGTCAGAGCACTTAAAGCAGTGCTTTTATAGCACACCAGCTAAATACTGGTGAATAATTGCTCCCTAGTTATCTTTTTGGGAGGATTATAGGTTGTTTCATCCATGTGTTAGAGAACTAAATTGTAACTGGCCAAAGATAAGGTTAAGTTGTATACTTCTGTGGGAAATAGAAAAGTAGAGAGTACAGTAAGTGAGTACGGTAAGTCAGTCAGTTACTAAGTAACTGACTTAGTGAGTATTAGTCACTCATGAGTGACTTTTAAAATCACATTTCACTTGGAGAGCTCTTTGGAATCTGTTTCTAGTAGGCTTAGTGTAGTGATGAGAAAGAGCTGTTTAAAATTTTGTAAACGTGTATTTGGATTCATAGATTTACTGCAAAAGTAGAAACATAGATGTATAGATTTTTGAACTAAAGGGATCTCAAGATGCCAATAAATTAGCTTTAGGGCTCGGGGAAAGCCTTCATACTTCAGGACCTATGGCTCCTCTATTGAAAACAGAAAGAGTTTCTCTAGGTTCCATGCCAGCATTAGCCAGTGTTTTGCCTTAAGTTCTAGGAATTACCCACATTTTAAAACGAAGCAAAAGTACGGCTGAAGTACAGCGCAGTAGAGTGACTTGTTAGGGGCTGGTGGTGGGGGGAGGATAGGTTTCAGACCAGGTGAGATTGTGAAGGGTCTGGAAACCAGCGGGTCTGCTTTCAGGTCAGGTGCCTCCTGCACACTATGCCTCCTGGGGTCCTGCTCTGCAGCAGCCCTCTTGGCCCTGGTCCCTTCGGTGTGCACGATGCTCATGTGAGCAGTATCAGAATTTCACATCTGTTGAACAATGTAGTGAATGTTTATATTACACATGGTGTATGGTTATCTTTTTTGTTGTTGTTTATGTGTATTTTTAGTATACCTCTAAGCCTCACCTAGTGAAGACAGAAGGGATGATATTTATTATCTCCCTTGCGAACCTGCAGGGCGGATATTTTGACTCCTTTCTTGCCAGGTGGATATCTCAATATGGTGTTGGCAGGATTGCCTGTGTTCTGTAAGTGGCTATTCACCTAGTTCCAAGTCTACGAATTCTTGAGTATTCAGTCAAAAGAGATTTAAAGGATTTGGTTAACAATAATGTGCTTTCTAATGTAATCAGATATCCAAGTTAAAGACGGACTACAGACAGCCAAGTGTTTGATATAGAGCATGAGTAAATGGCTCTTCCTGTCTGTTTCGGCAGACATGTTTAGAAAAATGACATTCAAGCAATAACATTTTCCAGTTACAGATTTTAATTTTATTAAGATAATAAATCCTATACTGTTTTGCTAATCTAATGCTTTTTACTTTAGGACAATTTGTAAGAGTTTATGTAAAACAATAGAGAAAATCTGCTCTATATCCAGGAAAATATAAACAGAAGAAATTTAAAGATTTCTGAAAGAATTAATTAATTTGGAGAATTTGTATAATTGTGTCATAATGTCTGCCTTGCGCTGTGCTAGGTTTAGTGAATTCTAAAGATGAAGGATACCTCCTATCAAGACATTCATAGTCTAATGAAAGACATTTAGACAGAAATAGTACATTACAGCAAGATTCTCAGTAGAGATATGCACAGGTTGCAATAGGAGTAATAATAATTAAACTTGCAGTCTGGTTGAGGGAGGTGTGGGAGAATTGCCAAAAGCAGTCCTTTCATATTCTGAGACTACTTTATGATTCCTAGAATGTTTGAAGAAGCTATAAAGCACTCTGGTACATGAGCTTTTTAAGCTTTCTCTCGGATTGCTGTGTATATCCAGTATGCCTCCGGTGCTTACCCAATCTGTAGTCAGCCATGCTACCTGGCTTTTCAGCCTTCTCCTCTTCCTCGTTGTGGGACCATTAGCAAGTTATTGCCCTGTGTTTCAGTTTTGTAAGAAGAAGAAAGAAATAGTACCAACTTGGTAGGATCATTGTAAATATTAAGATCGTATATGGAAAACATTTTAGAATGCTGCCTGGTATACCATAAGGCTCAGAAAATTTTAGTTCTTATTGTTGTCAGTTTTAGTAGCTAGGTAGAATATTGAAACACTGTCACCATGTTGATCATTTAGATTCTCTTTCTAAAATGCTGATGTCAAATAAAATTTTACATTTTTCCCCCTTTCTAGCTCCAAGAGGAAAACGAGGATGGAAAACCTTTTATGCTGTACTGAAGGGAACAGTTCTTTACTTGCAAAAGGTAAAAGCAAAGCGGATAAATCCACTAAATTTGATGAAGTAATTAAACGAGGTCCAGTATATGTATATACAGTAGTCTCCCTTATCTGTGGTTTCACTTTCTGCAGTTTGTTTGCTAATGTTAAAAAATATTCAATGGAGAATTCCAGAAATAAACGATTTTAAATTTTAAATTGCATGCTGTTCTCAGTAGCATAATGAAATCTTTCTCAATCCTGCTCCATCCTGACCAGATGTGAATCATCCCTTTGTCTGGCGTAGCCATCCTATATTCGCCTATCCTTTAGTCACTTAATAGACATCTCTGTGATGAGATCAGCTGTCCAATTATGGCAGTGTTTGTGTTCAAGTAACCCTTATTTTACTTAATAATAGCCCCCAGAGAACAATGATGGGGGCATATTGTTATCATTGTTCTATTTTATTATTAGTTATTGTGGTTAATCTCTTACTGTGACTAATTTATAAATTAAATTTTATCTTAGATATGTATAGGAAAAACATAGTATACAGTCATCCCTCCATGCACACAGGGGATCAGCTCCAGGACCTCCCTTATATACCAAAGTCCCCACGTACTCAAGTCCTGCAGTCAGCCCTGTAGAATCCACATATAAGAAAAGCGGGCTTCTGCATACTTGGGTTTCATGCCCCACAAGTGCCGTATTATCAGTCCTCATTTGATGGAAAACAATCCGCATTTTAGTGGATCTATACAGTTCAAGCCCATTTTGTTTAAGGGTTGTCTATATATAGGGTCCGGGACTATTCAAAATTTCAGGCATCCACTGGGGGTCTTAGAACGCATCCCACATGGAGAGATAAGGGGAGCCTACTGTAGTACATATTCTTTATTCCTTCTTCAGTGAACACTTAGATTGTTTCCACCTTTTGGCTATTGTGAGTAATGCCATAATGAACATGGAGTGCAAATACCTCTTCAAGATCCTGACTTCATTTCTTGTGGATAAATACCCAGAAGTAGGACTGTGGGGTCATATGGTTCTGTTTTCAGTTTTTTGAAGAAACTCCATATGGTTTTCCAAAGCAATGTAGCATTTTATATCTGAACAACAGTACTTAAGGGTTCCAGCTTCCCCCCATGTATGTGTTGAATTTATCTGAGCTCTGTCTTCCATTCTGTTGGTCTATGCATGTTTCTGTCTTTATGCCAGAACCATATTGATTTGGTATTATAGCTTGGTAATATGTTTTGAAATCGGGATGTGAGGCCTACAGCTTTGGTCTTCTTTTTCAGTATCATTTATGGCTTATTCAGAGTCTTGTGATTACGTATAAATTTTAGAATTTTTTTTCTGTTTCTGCAAAAAATCCCACTGGGATATTCATAGGGATTTTATTGAATATGTAGGTCACTGTAGGCAGTATGGCATTTTAATAACGTTTAATCTTTGAATCCCTGAACATGGAATGTCTTTTCATTTATATGTGTCTTCTTTAATTTCTTTCAGCAGTGTTTTATAGTTTTCAGTGTGTATGTCTTTTGCCTTCTTGATCAAGTTTGTTCTTAAGTATTTTTCTACTACTTTTTGATGCTGTTGTAAATGGTATTATTCATTTCCTTTTCAGATTGTTCGTTGTTAGTGTATAGAAATGGAACTGATGGTTAATTTTTTATCCTGCAACTTTGCTGAATTTGTTTATTCTAATAGGCTTTTCGGGAATCTTTAGGTTTTCTACATATAAGATCATTTGAAACTGTTTCTCATTTGAGGGTTTTCTTTAATCGTGAAAGGATATTGAATTTCATCGCTTTCCTGCATCTATTGAGATGTTCGTGTAATTTTTATCCTTTGATCTGTTAATATGTTTTATCACTTTGACTGATTTTCATAGTTGTACCACCTTTACATCCCAAGGACACATCTCACTTGGTCATTGTATATGATCTTTTTAATGTACTGTTGAATTCAGTTTGCCATCATTTTGTTTAGAGTTTTTGCGTTTATGCCCATAATGGATATTGGCAAGTAGTTTTCTCATAGTACTGTTTTCTGGTTTTGATATCAGGGTCATGCTGGCCTTGTAAAATGAGTTTGGAAGGGTTCCCTTCTCTTCAATTTTTTGGAAGAGTTTGAGAATGATTGGCATTAGTCATTTAACTGTTAGGTAGAATTCACTGGTGAAGCCATCTGGTCCTAAACTTTCCTTTGTTGGAAAGGTTTTCATTACAGATTCAATGCACTTATTATTATAGATCCTTTCAGATTTTCTAGCTCTCCATACTTCAGTCTTGGTAGATTATAGGTTTCTAGTAATTTACCCCTTTCTTCTAGGTTTCCCAATTTGTTGGTGTATAATTGTTCATAATAGTTTCTTAGAATCCTTTTAGTTTATGTGGCATCAATTGCAATTCCTCCTGTTTCATTTCTGATTTTTTTTATTTGAGTATTCTCTATTTTTTTCTTAATCTAGCTAAAGGATTGTCAGTTTTGTTCATCTTTTGAAAAGAAATTTTTAGTTTTTTTTTTCATTTCTCTACTTCATTTATTTCTGCTCTAACCTTTAATTAGATTTTCATTTCTCTATTTCATTTATTTCTGCTCTAATCTTTATTGTGTCTTTCTTGTGCTAACTTTGCATTACTTTGTTCTTTATCTGGTGTAAAAATAGGTTGTTTATTTAAATCTTCCTTCTTTTCTAATGTGTTTCTTGCCATAAACTTGCCTATTGGTACTGCTTTTGTTTCCTTCCATAAGTTTTGGCATATTGTGTGTCCATTATTGTTGGTCTCAAATTATTGTCCAATTTCCTTTTTGATTTTTTTTTGACCCATTGATTGTTCAGGACCATGTTGCTTAATTTCCACATATTTGTGAATTCTCCATTTTCCTTCTGCTGTTAATTTCTACTTCGCTTTCTTTGTGATTGGAAAATATGTTTGCCATTATTTCAGTCTTCTTAAATTTGGTAAGATTTGTTTTGTAACTTTGAATTTTATCCGTCCCAGATTATGTTCCATGTGCACTTCAGAAGAATATATATTCTCGTGCTGTTCAGTGGAATGTTCTGTATATGTCTGCTAGGATATTAGGTCCACTGTGTTTTTGAAGTTCTCTGTTTCTTTATTGATCTTCTGCCTAGAAGTTCTGTACATTTAGAGAGTGGGGTGAGGAAATATCCTGCTATAGTTAATTTCTGCCTTCAGTCCTGTGAATGTTTACTCTATATATATATATATTTGCGTGCCGTGATGATGGCTGCATGTGTATTAATAATTGTTATGTCTTTGTGATGAAGTGACTCATCATTATATGTCATTCTTTCTCTCTTGACAGTTTTTTACTTATTTTGTATAATATAAGTATGACTGCCTCTCTGCTCTTTTTATTACCAATTGCATGTAATATTTTTTCCATTATTTGACATTCAGGTGTGTGTGTCTTTAAATCTAAAGTGAGTCTTTTGTAGACAGCATATACTTAGGGGTGTGTGTGTGTGTCTCTCTCTCTCTCCCTCCCTCTCTGTCTCTGTCTCTCAATACATTCAGCCACACTCCCAGCTTTGATTGGGAATTTAATCCATTTATATTTAGAGTAATTATCAATACAGAAAGACTTACTCTTGCTATTTTGCTATTTATTTTCTTTTCTATCTTGTCACTTTTTTACTTTACTCTTACGAGTATTTCTTTCTGTTTCACTGATTTTTTTTTTGTAATAACCTTTATTTCTTTCTCATTTTCTTTTGTGTGTCTTTTAGGGGTTTCTTTGTTTGCTTACCATGGGGTTTACATAAAACAGTTAAAATGATCTATTTTAAGCTGATAATGATTTCAGGTCATATGTCAAAACTATACTTTTACTCCCTCACAAATTATATCCTTTTGTATTGTATTCCCACTAATGTATATTTATAGGTAAAGTATTTTAATACTTTTTGAAAAATTTCTATACCAGAGTTAAAAGTCATTTACACACCACTATTACAATATTAAAGTATTGTGTATTTTTCCTACATATGGTCAGCACTCCATATCAGTGATTGCTGCATTTGAATTCAACCAACCTGAGATTGAAATATTCAGAAAAAAAAGTTCCACAAAGTTTCAAAAAACAAAACTTGAATTTTCCACATGCTGAGTACTATGTTGAATCTATGCCAATGTAGTGATATGTAGGCCTTTTATTAGGTATCATGAGTAATCTAGAGATGATTTAAAGTGTACAGAAGGATATACATAGGATATATGCAAATACTGTGTCATGTTATGTAAGCAACTTGAACATCCGTGGATTTTGGTATCTATCAGGGATCCTAGGACAAATCTCCCATGGATACCAAGTCCTGTCTTTGTTTACTTTTGCCATTGAGCTTTATACTTTCATGTTTCTGTTCAGCATTCTTTCATTTCAACTTGAAGAACTCCCTTTAGACTTCCTTGTAAGGCAAGTCCAGCAGTAATGAACTCTCAACTTTTGTTTGCCTGAGAAAATATTATCTTTCATTTTTAAAGGGTAGTTTTGCTGGATGTAATATGCTTGTGTGGCAAGTGTTTGTGTGTGTGTGTGTGTGTGTGTGTGTGTGTGTGTGTGTGTTTTGGTTTTTTTTTTTTTTTTTTTTTTTTTTGAGCACCTTGAACATACCATCACAGTCACTTCTGGCCCTGGATCATTTATGCTGAGAAATCCACAGACAAATCACTTTTCTTTTGCTACTTTCAAAGTCTTTTCTTTTTCTTTGACTTTTTATAATTTTGTCCTTGGTCCCAGTTTAATTTATTTCCATTAATCCTGGTTGTCATTAGGCTTCTCGAATCTAGATGTCTGTTTCCTTCCTCATATTTGAAAAGTGTTCTGTAAAGAAGCTTTGTGACTTCTTTGTTCTTTCTGCTGTTTCTTGGATTTCCATAATGTGTTGGTCTGCATAATGGTGTGTACCATTAATGCCTAAAGCTCTCTTAACTCTTTTTCATTCTTATTTATCTTTGTTCTCTGAGTGGATAATTTCAAATGGTCTGTCTTCAAGTTTGCTCATTCT